TTTTTTTTTGTCTTTTAGCTGACCCAATAGATTGGTCACCAATAAGAATAGTCTTAAAGGTAAACGAGTCGAGTAACAGAGTAAGTCCTGTTATACTCAAGAACCTAAACCAATCCAAGTAGACATGGCCATTTCCCAGTATTGGACCAAGGGTTGGGGGCTCTGAACCGGCCCGAACATATGCACTTCAAATAACTAGCGGTCCCGAGCCGATCTGGTTCAATTAAAAAAAATAATAAAATTTAAATTTTTTTTTTTCAAAAAATTGGCCAAACCACAGGTTCCGGTTGCGGCTCAAAACTAGCCCAACGGCTTGACAACTAGAAATATGTGGCTCGAAACCCCCGATCAAACTTTCGATCTATACCGGCACCATAATATCAGATTGGGGGGCCGATTCGGGCCGGGCTATGGTCACAGGGTCCAAGTAGAATAATTCTGGTTTACTCGACCCAAAAAATGCGTGTAACCCATGGGTAATCCAATTAAGGATTTTATTGACATGCCTAAACTCAAGCAACATTTTATAACCCATAAATACTACAGTACACATATCACCCAACTTTGCTATCTACTATCTCAAATTTGATGCAGGAGAATATAAAATGAGTTCGACACATATCCTCTCCTCATACATCAAACTTATAATTGTCGAAAATCAGCACTAATTACAGGACACAAAAATGCAAGGTTGGGTTTGGGTGTCATCCCAACACGTTCCTTTCATACCAGTATTTATCCTCACCTTTCCAGAGCATTTATACACTTGATAACCTTCATACTCTTGATAACTTATTACAGGACAAAATGTAAGTCTGCGTTTGGGTGTCATCCCAACAAAATCCTTTCATATCAGTCTTACAATCCTTTCACATCAGTTTTTCTGTCAATATCTTCACCTTTCCGGAGCATTTATACCCTTGACAACCTTCATACTCTTGATAACTTCCAATTACCGGTGGACCTCAGCCATTGAGTACTCATCATCAAAACAAACCATGATATCTGTCATTAATTACTATATGATAAGATAAATTGCCGCACGGGTATTTGTTGCATTTCAACCACCTGACATTTTCTTTTTTCTTTTTTTATACAAAGCACATGTTAGTCTCAATGTCTTTTTAAGTAAGAGCTTCACCATGATATAAATGAAAAATGAAATAGAAGAGTACCTGACGACATTTGGTCTTTCTAAGCGGCCCATAACTGTAATCCACCCCCAACAAGCCCAACCATTGTTTATTCTTGTTCTACTGTCAGTTACGACACCACCTTAGATTCCCCAAACTAGTATTTAAATGAATCCAGAAAAAGGCCAAGAGAGAGCCCGGCCTTCCAGTAATTGAACATGACAATTACATTCCTCAAGTCATCCACCAAAGGAATTGAGACTCTGTACATGAGGGCCCCAATACCCTCCACAACAGCCACAGCTACAGCTGCAGACAACACATCCCAATCACCAGTTTGCCCAATGACTGTTGCGAAAGCTGTGGCGCAATAAAACCCCACCAAGAAAGAGAACAATTTCACAGGCAGATTTTTTCTCAACTCCTTTAGTCGTGCTATTATTTTCAATTGAACAACTTGTATGCTCCGGATAAGCCTGGTCCCACCGCCCAAGTCGTCTTTAGGCGACGAATTAAGCCGGCTGCCGTCGGCTGCACTTCTAAGGCTCCATGAAGCCTTCCTCCTGTACAACTGGATATAATGAGTTTCACAAGAGGATATAATGAGTCTAAGGTGATATTTATACATACTAAAGAACCTAAAATTGCAGTTCAGCTCATAACTTAGGGTGAGAGCAAAATAGCACAGTGAAGTGTATAATGAATATTTACAGAATAGTTATGCAGCTAGAAATATCTCTCAGTTTTTTCTTTTTTTCTTTTTTATAAAATTAAAGATTGTCAATTTTGGTCTTAAAGTAAAGCACCTCCACTCGCTTGGTTGAAATCCAGTGAAATTAAGATGTAAGATTGAATCTTTAACATCATTTACTGTTTAATAAACCATGTGATTATGTAGGAAAAAAAGGTGAGATTGACATAATTAGAGGGCTTTCTGCAAAAGATGTTTAGCGGAATGATTTTGCAATTTCACCGATAAAGAAAAAGATGTAAAGTTGACAAAAAGAAAAGAAAGAATCCAACTCACTTGAAATTGTTGGCACTAAAAGGCCGAACAACATGAAAAAAATTCAACTGAAATGGCGGCATCAACAATTTACTGAATGAAAGCCCAGTGATGGATTTTGAGTAATTATTGGATGTGAGAATACTCGCTAAACTCATCACATTTGCTCCTCCAACAATGAAAGGACCTTCAACCTGCGATTCCAATACTGGAAATGTCATTTCAAAAGATATTTCGAACAACTAATTGATCAAGAATTCTGAAAATCATAATACAAAATCCAGATATCAACCGACTGATTCAGTAGAAATTCGCTGTTAGCGTATAGTAACAGAAGAATAGCTGTGAGTAGTTGCTACCTTACATGAGCAGTTGTTGATCCGGAAGTTGCCAGATAAGTGGTCTTTGAATGTACAGCTGAAAAGGGAAAAATGAAATCATGAGAAGACAAGAGACCAAGCTACATGTTCTTGAAGATACATGGGCATCATTTTATAATGTAACAGTTAAGTCCCAAAACACTATCGAATTTTCAAATGCCTGGATTATCAACTTCTTGCACTTAAACCCCAAATAACAGAACTGATTAAATCCCGACCAAATCAATTAACCAAGTGATTATAGTGCGGACAACGTTGGTCAAGTGGCTTGCAAACTGAAGTTGCTAAGAGTATTTCATGTTTCCTGTTTTAAAGAAACGGATCGGTACAGATGAAATACCTGTTGCGATGTTTCCAGATGGCCTGTTTGAGATTGAATCCACAGCAATCTTGGATAAGCAAGCGTACAATTTCTCGAACAGAATTCAATTGGTTTAGGGAGATACAGAGAACAAGGAAATCTTGTTGGGAACCTGAGGCAGAATATTCAGAAATTAGGGTTGAAGAGGGACAACAATTCGGTCGAATTATTATTAAGACGAAATGGAGAATTTTTTTTTTTTTTGAGCGAGTGCTAGGGCTAAGCGTCTAGAAGATTTACCAAACCGTGTCGAAAATCGAATCGAATTCACTCCGAACTAAAAAATATCCGTTGATCATTTTACTATCTCCGAACTGAATCGTATCGAAATTTTTTTTGGTACAATTCTGGAGATTCATAAAATATCCGTACCGAGAACCGTATCGAACCGAAGAACCGAACAAGAACCGATTCTAATATAGGATATTATACCCACAAGGCTAAAGTGGTCTACTGAACCGGTCGAGGAGGCCATGCCGTGAAGAAACCAAGCCGAATGACAGGAAAATCAACCAGTCAACCAGTCGACCAGCTAAACCGTCGACCAGGTGAACGGTCGAGCAATTCAATCGACCTCGATCGGTCGACCACTTCGCGGACTTAACACCGCATAGATCGGTCTAGTCACAGGCACGTGAAAGAGCCTCTAACGGAATTTCAGAAGAATATCCACCTCATGTGCAGGAGGACACGTGTCGAGAACTTATTGGTTGATAGCGACAACCACCTCTGTCAGCTCCCAACGTTCCGCGCCACCTCTGACATGCGCGCGGTGTGTCAGAGTACGGACGGGCAGTTTGGGCAGCCAGCTCATCAAATTCAGGCAGTCTTAGGTCAGGTAGCTCACTCCTATATAAAGGGGGTGAGTCTTTCTTCCTTAACACGATTTTTCCATTACTCAATTCCAGTATACTCATACACATACTGACTTAAGCATCAGAGGCTCTTCACCGGACACAACCCCCGGTGTGAGAGTTATTTGCAGGTTTCCGGCATTCTATCGGCAAGGAAAAGAATTGATCTACCCCAAACAGGGCCAAGACGCTCACACTTGCATTATTGGCGCCGTCTGTGGGACATTTCGTTTGAGAAGTTGTGTTTGAAGCTCAGCTATGGCGGACTGAATTCCCAAAAACTTGCAGTCGACGTTCGACGACGCTTGGACGACGACCAGCCGATTGGGCAAGGCCCTCCTTCGGGTTTTTCAGGCCCTTCGCAGACGCTGATCACTCCTACACCCGTCCTTCATGGTGTGGGAGCGTCGACGCCAATCCCCGGAGGAGATGCCAGCTCTAGTCATGCCCAGGAAGCTTGCGCAGCAGCTGCGGCGGCGATGCCACCGCCGCCGCCCCAAAACCCAGTGGTGGCGCAAGGAGGAACGCCACCGCAGGCAGTTGTACAAGCTCCCGGTCAATAGGTGGTGACGATGACCAGGGAGGAGATGCAGAGGATAGCAACGGCCGCCGCGGCGCAGGCGGTGCAACAAGTCACAAGCCACACATCTCACGCCACAACCGCCCCGACCACGGCGATAGAAAGCCAGGACGAGGATGTGTCCAGTTATGGAGATGGAGGAGGTGTGAGGGACCGTGCAATGGAGAGAATGGCGGAGCAGTTGCACCAGTTGCAGGACAAGGTTGAAGGGAGGCCGGAGAGGAGAGCTCGAGGACATCCTTACTCGAGGGAGATTCTCGAGGCCCCTTTGCCGAATAATTTTAGGGAGACCAACTTGGTGTATGATGGGTCATCTGACCCGTCGAGACATATGAGGACTTTTGACAATATGGTTGTGTTGCATGGATACTCTGATTCTGTGTGTTGCAGGGCATTTTTATCGACCTTGCGTGCAGGGGCACTCGATTGGTTTCATCAGTTACCCCTTGGGTCAATTGCGGACTTTGAGGATTTTGTTAGCAAGCTTACCAATCAGTACTCGAGCGCGGTGGCTCAAGAAAAGACCTACTTGACCCTCATGGCGATGAAACAGGGAGAGAAGGAGTCATTGAGGAACTATGTTGCCCGATATAATCAAACATGCTTGGAGGTGCACTCGGCGACAGATGAGGTGAAGGCAGGAGGGTTGATAAGGAGTCTTCGAGCGGGGCCTTGCCGAACTTCCCTGGCAAAGACCCCTGCTCGATCATATGAGGATGTTTTGAAGCGATGCAGGAAGTATATTAATCTGGAAGAGATGAAGGCGGAGTTTGTGAAGTTGGAGGGGGCAGCTCGACCAGAGCCAAAGAAGGAAAAGAGCCCACAGAGGGAGAGGTCGCCGAGGAGAAGTTCGCCCAAGAGGAGTGGGTCGAAAAGAACATCGCCTAGGAGGGAAGGTCGAGACTCGAAACTGGCGAAAAGGGATGATAGGTGGCAGGGGAGGCCATTGTCGTTTGAAAGACAGAGGTAACATAATTTTACACCTTTGAGAAAAGATTTGACAGAACTGCTTGAGGCGATGGAGCAGAAGATGTCGAGCGAGGATGTGACGTGGCCGAAGATGAGGTTTACAGGCTCGATTCGACCCAGGTCAGATATCTACTGCCGCTTTCATCGAGACTACGGTCATACCACAGAGAATTGCAGGCATTTGAAGGATGATATTGAGAGGTTGATTCGAGCGGGGCATTTGAAAGAGTTTGTTTATCATGATAGGGTGAAGAGGAAAGGAAGGAGGTGATGTAGGGAGGATTCGGAGGAAAGGAGTGACAGAGATGAGGAGGGGGATGATAGAGATGGTCGAGGGAAGAAGTCGAGGAGGGACGGAGAGAAAGGAGGGCTAAGGGGCAAAACCCCTGTAAAGAGAGGGACGATTTATATGATTTCAGGAGGGCCGACGGACGGCGACTCGAACAACGCCAGGAAGGAGCATGCTCGAGCAGTGAAAAGGAAGAGAGAGGAGGTCGGAATTATGGCTCGCATGCCTTTGATAAGTTTTAAGGCAGAGGATGCTAAAGGAGTGGTGTTGCCACATAATGATGCCTTGGTGATTACGGCAGAAGTGGAAGGTTTTGATGTGAAGAGGGTGTTCATTTATACCGGGATTTCGGTAGATGTAATGTTCTATCATTGTTTTTCACAGATTAACAAGGAGCTAAATATGGAGTTGAAACCAGTGGCCACGGTGCTTTACGGATTTAATGGAGGATAGGTGATGTCGATAGGCGAGGTGAGTTTGCCAGTGGCATTGGGAGCGGGAGAGACGAGGAAGGTGCGAATGGTAAGGTTTGTAGTAGTGGGAGCTGAATCATCTTACAACATCATTATGGGTCAGACGAGCTTGAACGCATTCCAGGCGGTCGTATCAACGTACCATATGACGATCAAATATCCAGTGGGCGAAAACGTTGGTGAGATCGCAGGGGATCAACTTACTTCGAGGAGTTGCTATCAGACAACAGTAAGCAACAACAAACAGTTGGTGAGGAAGCAGACTGGTATGAAAGAGGAAGAAGTTAGTCGATCGAGAGGGTCGAGATCGAAGGAGGACAGGCAAAGGTCGGAGAAGGGAAAGGAGAAGGTAGATATCCAGCCAGGAGGGGAGGTCGAAGAGGTCCAGATGGTCGAAGGGTATGAGGAGAGGAAGTTTAGTATCGAGAAGGACGTGGAAGAGCCTATCAGGTCGAGGTTGATCAGTCTAGTAAGGGAGTTCGCCGATATCTTTGCTTATACAGCGGAGGAATTGACAGGGATAAGCGCGGAGGTGATTTAACACCGTCTAAACATCGACCTCAGTGTGTGGCCGGTGAAGCAAAAAAGAAGGCACCATGGGGTGGAGATGGATCGAATTATTGAGCAGGAAGTGGAGACGTTGCTGGGGGCTGGGCACATGCTCAAAAATTCTTTCTGCAAAAACCCTAACTTTTGTTTTTCGGCGATTCTTCCTGCAATCCTCGAGCTTTCCCAATTCTCTCGTCTGCGATTATGAGTAACTGCTCCTCGCCTGATTTTACATTTTATGTCTTCTGAGATTTTGCGTTTTGAATTTCTTGAATTGGGTATCTGAAGTTTGCTGATTGGGTATTTTGAGTTTATGTGTTGGATGTCTGTATCCACTTATTAATCACTGTGAATTTTGCCATTTTTCTTCGAAAATCTCCCGAAATCCCTGTTCTTCTTCTTTAATTTCTCCAAATTCGCCCCTTCGTAGAACCCTAACCTCGAAAACCTTCTGCTCTTCCCCCCCTTTTTTTTGTCAAAATCCTTCTTTTTGATATTGTTCTTTTTCTTCTTTTTTTTTTTTTTCAGATCCTGCTACCTCGACCACCTCCTCTGACTCGGTTCAAGTATTTCCCTCTGCACTTAAAGTTGTTCCTCTCTCTATCCTTTGCCCCCGCGATACATTTTCTACCCGTATTTTCACAGCCCGTGTTGCTTCTGCTAATTCCGGGGATACCATGGACAATGTATTCTTCTGAGAAGATCGACCATCCCAGCGGTTGGTCGTTCTATAGGTCATCTCCCTCCGACAAGTACGATCGTCCCCCGAGGGACTGTTATACTTTCTTCGAGATCCAGTTCAAACTTGGCCTCCATTTTTCTTTGAATTCCGAGCTACTTCGCATTTGCGAGTGGTTCTCGCTTCCCTTGCACCAACTTTCCCCTAATGCAATCCGCTTCATGACCACCTGCATCATCCTCTGTCACATCCGCTTAGGTCGATTCGACCTAGCCTTCTTTCACTATTGCTACGCCCCTTCCAAACAAGGTCGAGGCCTTTATATTAAAAGCCGCAACGGCGCTCGCTTTATCATTGACATTCCTTCCAATCTTCCTAAGTGGAGTGACAAATTCATTTTCGTTCAGCCCGATGTCCCTTTCCCTTGGCCCTCCATCCCTTGGGTCAAGGACGTTTCCCAAGAGGTGGCCTCAGCTCCTCCTCCAAGCCCTCTCTTCGACCAACGGATCCACACATGGAATTCCAAGTCCGTTGCGTCAGAAAGACTTCTTAAGGACGAAAATCTTCTTCACCACTGTGGTCTTCTCACCCACGGAACTTGTCCTCCACCTGCTGATAAATCCCTCGATCTCATTCGACTTGAGAATGATCCAGGTAATCCTCGACCAGGTTGCTCGAGCATATATGCGATTCTTTGCTCTTGTTTTATGTAAATGTTATTAATGCTGGGTTTGACGTTCTTGTTTACCTTTTTGCAGAGGTTCCTAGCTTCAACATTCCTCCGAGGAAGACTCCTCTGAAGCAAAAGGCAGGGGATACTTCGGGGTCAACTGGGGACAAGGGCGAAGGATCGACCACTTCGTCCCAGACTCATCTTGAGCGACGCCCACCATCACCTCCTCGCCAACACCAGCAGCCACCACAACCACCACAGCCAGAACCATAAAAACAACAACAGCAACAACAGCAACGCCGACCTCCTCCAGTAAAACTCCTCAGCACACATTTGTCTCTGCCTCTGCCATCCATTACTCGACCACCTCCAAAACTGATGACCACCAAACAAAGACCATCGACCGCCAACAGAAAACTTACAGCTGCCACCAAAAAACCGACGACCGCCAAAAAACTAACACTGCCACCAAAAAATCGACCCCTGAGCTTCCAATCCTAAAGATGCCACCCCTTCTAAAACCACAGAAAAATCTTCTGAACCTAATGCCTCGTCCAAAACCAAGATTCAAGACAAACCTCCTCTCGACCATTCTTCTACTAAGAGCCTCTCTGCTGGCTCGACCAAGGTTCTGGTTGAGTCTAGCAGTCAAGATGATACGGGGTGCAAGCTGACCTTGGGGAAATGTTCTCGCACCGACCAAGGCGAAATGGCTTGGAAACGAGGGCGTGCTAGCCATTCTTGGCCTGACCCGTTGGCCCCAAAATCTACATCCCTATTGTCGGCCTCCGTGAATGAAGTGGCCGAGCGCCTCGAGGGTGCCCTTCTCGTGGACGACCATAAAAAGGCCAATGCCACTCTGCCTGAAGTTGGCGACCAGCTCGTTCAATGGCTTGCCCAGGTATTACTTGTCTTGTATTTGCATCGATCCCTTCCTACCCTCCTGTTTCGACATATGGATTGAACTCTTTCACCTTCTTCGATTATAGGGCTTGGTCAATTCTTGCCTCTGGCCAAGGAGGCTCGAGACATCTCGGGGAAGTCGATAAAGAGCCTCGAGGGCACCATTGGCTTTCTGTAGGACAAGAACTCGACTCTCCTACAGCATAATGCCAAGTTCTGCGAGACGCAGACAGAGCAGAAAGATGAGCTCGACACTAAGGTTAACTCCCTTAGCGAAGAGCTCACCAAAAAGGATAAAGCTCTCGCGGAAAAAGATGCTGCCCTCGCCGTGAAGGAGGCAGCAGTGGCCGAGAAGGAGGCCACTTTGAGAGAGAAGGAAACTGCGCTCGAGCAGGAGCGGGCTGCTCGAGCTGAAGCTAAAAAAGCTCGAGCTGAGCTGGAAGCCACCTTGACTAAAGAGAGGGCTGCCCACGCCGAGGAAAAGCAACGATATGCAAATGCCACCCTCTACGAGCTAGGCAAATGCTTTGGGCGACGACAACCGGGCAGCTCTTACTCCGTGAACATCGTGCACAAGTGGTGGCTGACTTCATGCAGTCACCACAATTCTTGAAGGAGGTTCAAGATTTCGGGGTGGACTGCTTCCAGTTTGCCCTGCAGAAGGCTGACGAGCAGATCGCCGAGGATGACTTCGAGCAGCTCGACCCTAGGGCTATGTGGGATGCTTTACCAAAGGTTCCCTCTAGCTTCCGCGATGATCCTGCTCTACCTCTCGAGCATGAGTGGTGGTCGGGGTAGCTCGAAAGAACCTTGGTTCGATCGGACATTCTGAAGAAAACCTTTGCTCTGCCCGATGATGCTACTCCTCCTACTGCCATGTTGGTCGCGATGGCCGAGTCTATTCGACGACGCCCATTGAATGAGGCCTGCGACTCGACCTCTGGCACTAGCCATCAGCCCGATCCTAAAGCTTCCACCAGCAATGTCGACTCTGCTGCCACTGTTGTTCCTCCTCCATAGACTAGCTCGTTTTGTACTTTATTTTTTCTACATTTTGGGTCTTGTATTTTGATGAACTTTTGTATATGTGAACTTTCCATATTTTTCTTGAAATAGAAATGCCTTGTTCAATTTTGTCTCTATCTTCAATAGTGCTTGTGATGACTTGACTTGGTACGCTTGTATAACTCTTCAACGAGGTGATTGGAATGAATCTACAATATATGGGTAACTCATCTTTCATCTTTTAACTTGTGTTTATCCGTGTAGTCTTAAATTTCAAATGCGTGCCCAACTTCAGAGGTGGTCAATGCATGCGACAACCCAACCTCATGGCCTTAAGAATGATGGGTTTTAAGTTTTGAACACATGCCCACCTTGAGAGGTGATCGAAACATTCAACCATCCAGCCTCGTGGTCTTAATCATGATGGGTTTTCATCTTTGAACACATGCCCACCCTCAAGGGAGTGGTCATTTCATGCGACCATCTAGCCTATTGGCCTTAATCATGATGGATTTTTATCTTCGAACACATGCCCACCCTCAAGGGAGTGGTCGTTACATGCGACCCCAGCCTCTTGGCCTTAATCATGATGGATTTTTATCTTCGAACACATGCCCACCTTCAAGGGAGTGGTCGTTACATGCGACCATCGAGCCTCTTGGCCTTAATCATGATGGAACTTTATCATCGAACACATGCCCACCCTCAAGGGGGTGGTTGTTACATGTGACGATCCAGCCTCTTGGCCTAAATCATGATGGATTTTTATCTTTGAGCACATGCCCACCCTCAAGGGGGTGGTCGTTACATGCGACCATCCAGCCTCTTGGCCTTAATCATGATGGATTTTATCATCGAACACATACCCACCGTCAAGGGAGTGGTCGTTACATGCGACCATCCAACCTCTTGACCTTAATCATGATGGATTTTTATTTTTGAGCACATGCCCACCCTCAAGGGAGTGGTCGTTACATATGACCATCCAGCCTCTTGGCCTTAGTCATGATGGATTTTTATCTTCGAACACATGCCCAACCTCAAGGGAGTGGTCGTTACATGCGACCATCCAGCCCCTTGGCCTTAATCATGATGGATTTTCATCTTCGAACACATGCCCACCCTCAAGGGGGTGGTCGTTATATGTGACCATCTAGCCTCTTGGCCTTAATCATGATGGATATTTATCTTCGAGCACATGCCCACCCTCAAGGGGGTGGTCGTTACATGCGACCATCCAGCCTCTCGGCCTTAGTCGTGATGGATTTTTATAAGTGACCTGTCATCAGGGTTATTCCAGCCATAAAACAAGTCGATAGACAATAAGTTGTAAAGAGTCCAATACGCCGTTTCATTGATTACCAAATAAAAAAGGGGTTCATTACATTGATTCCAGCGAATGTTTTCATAAATAAAAGAAAAAATTTAGGCATAATATTTTTTCAAGTTAGCCACATTGCATGACCTGGCTAGGGATCTTTCCTCCGCATCCTTTAAAGAATACGCCCCTCCAGCATGGACCTTTTCGATGAGGTATGGTCCTTCCCAGTTTGGCTCCAATTTTCCAACGTGCTTCAACACATCGATTCTTTTCCATACCAGATCGCCCATCTGGAATCTTCGCACCCTCACCTTTCTATCATGCGTTTCTCGCATCCTTTGCTTGTATGCCTCGACTCTGATTGAGGCCTTTCCTCGAAGCTCTTCGATTGTGTCGAGAGCTGCCATCATCAAGTGTTCATTCTGTGCTCGATCATATGTGCTCGATCTCTGGGATTGAACCTCGACCTCAACCGGCAACAAGGCTTCCATTCCGTAAACCAGACTGAACGGTGTTTCTCCAATGGTCGATCGGGGCGTTGTTCTTTATGCTCATAGCACCAAAGTAAGCTCATCCACCCATGCTCCCGATGTCTTCTCCAGCCTTGTTTTGAGACCATTCAGTATGATCCTGTTGGTCACCTGAACCTGCCCGTTGGCTTGTGGATGAGCGACTGAAGCAAAGTGTTGCTCAATTTTCATGTCCTCGCACCATGCTCGAATCCGTTTGCCATTAAACTAGGTCCCGTTGTCCGACACCAATACCTTAGGAAATTCAAACCTACAGCAGATATTATTATATAGAAAATGTATCACTTTCTCCTCCGTAATCTTTGCCAACGGTTCGGCCTCCACCCACTTTGTGAAGTAATCGACCGCAACAATCAAAATTTCCTTTGTCTGGTTCCCTGAGGCATGGGCCCGACCAGGTCGATACCCCATTGGGCGAATGGAATGGGAGCACTCATTGTCGTCATTACCTCGACCGGTTGATGAATGAGCGGGCCATGCTTCTGGCATTCCAAACACCTTCGCACCATCGCTTTTGCATCTTCCCTCATCGTCGGCCAGAAATATCCTGTCCTTAGAACTTTCGTCACTAGGGAGCCTGCCTTGCTGTGGTCACTACAGCACCCTTCGTTAATTTACCTCAGCACATATCGCCCTTCTTCTCTGGTCGTACATCGCAGATGTGGTCCAGCGTGTGATCTCTTGTACAAGATCCCTCCGTGCTCAAAGAACCTTCTTATCACTTTAACCTCTCCCTCCTTTAAATTTTTAATTATTGGGACCCTCCAGCCTCGACTTCTTCTATTTCGGCCACTTCCTTCTCGAACACACTCTTCTCCATATGCAGTAGAGTCACACTTCTACTCTTGCAGTCGATCAGGTTCTGCGCGATTTTAGATAACAAGTCTGCTCGACCATTCTCCACTCGAGGTATCTGGATCAACTCAGGGAATCGAACTCCTTCTGCAACTTTTTCATCTCCTCTACATACTTCATCATCTTGTCCTCCTTAACCTCGAACCCTTCTTGAAACTGACCCACCACTAATTGTGAGTCTGAATGTATCTGTACCTTCTGAGCTCCTTCGGCCAGAGCCAACTCAAGCCCCTTAATGACTGCCTCATACTCCGCCTCATTGTTTGATACTCGATACGCCACCTTTACCGCAAACTCAAGGCTATCACCTTTTGGTGATATAAGCACAATTCCTAGGCCACCTCCAACCCTTGACACCGACCCGTCCACGAACACCCGCCAGACTTCTTCAAACTCCTCCTCTTCTCTTGTCCCTTCTAGTATGAAATCGGCCAGTGCCTGGGCTTTAATCGCCCTCCTCGGCTCATAGACAATCGTGTATTCTGTAACACCCTGAGTTTTAGTAATAAAGGAAAATACTAGCTTTTTAATGTTAAGCTAGCCTTTGTTACTAAATAATCATGTTCATGTTCAAGTTCAAGTTAATCAGTTAGTTATATTCCAAGTTCGACTATTAGCCGATAAATTATTCGGTTAAATTATTTAAGTAACCGAATAAGTTTCCAGATTCAATTCCGATTCGTTTATTTAATTAATGAGTTCGGAATTAATTATTCAGTCAGGAATATTCTGTCATGTTATT